TCATTATATAGTAGTTGTAATTAATAACTATTATTATTATTATTATAGCAGCCACTTACTGGGGTTCATTTTACATACATCATCTCATTTAATCTTCACAAAAATCCTGTGAAGAAGGTCTGCTGTGACCCCCACTTTACTGATGAGAAAAGTGAGGCTCTCGGAGATCTCACAGTTAGGGACAGAGCTTCTCGGTGTGGAGGCAGCAGGCTCAGGTTCCAATCTGGGCTCTTTACCTTGGCTGGGTGACCATGGTAACGCCTCTTCTGAGGACCTTTGTCTGTCCGAGTGGCATTGGGGCGGATAAAGACGTTGCCTGTTAAGCCACATAGAGTTTGGTCATAGCCCTTAGTATTGCTCCCTCCCCGTCTCTCCTTGGCAGCCCAGCTCAGTCTGTCCAGGGCTCTGCGGGGATGGTTCTGGGGCAGAGCTTGGCGGGAGGGGGGAGGGGAGGGTGTGTGTGTGTGTGTGTGGTGGTGGTGGTGTGTGGGGAGGTCACTCTGAAGGCTACGCTGTGTCTGGGCATCTCCCTTGGGTCCCTACTGAGAGGCAGGAATGAGGCTTTGAGCTGGTTGAGGGTCACCTGGAGGCCTGACCTGACTTGTGTATGGCAGCTCATAAATGCCCAGGCGGAACGGGCTGTGGGGGGGAAGGGGGGAGTTTCCATTGTGTCAGCAGCAGCCTCGCCTGTGGGGGGTGCCCTATAAACCTGTCAGTAAGGTGGGGCTTGCTGGGAACTCTGCTGGGAGCCGCCCAGGACCCGTGGCCCCCAGGAGAGCAGTTGCCTAGCACACAGGCCCAGGCTGCTCCCTCTGCTGGGACTGGCCAGTACTTCCTCCAACAGCCTTTCCCCTCCCTGCCTGCCATCTTGGACTTGGAGAAATGAGCACTAGCACTAGATGCTGAGTGTGGTAAAGGACTCTGGCCATGGCACTGGAAGACAGGGTACAAGTCTCAGCTCTTCCTCTTAATTGCTCTGTGACCTCAAACAACTTGGTCAACCAGTCTGAATCGCAATTCACTCACCCATAGCATAGGGACCTGAAGGGGTCAGAGTGTATGTTCCAGTGCAGGGAGGGCAGCTGTTTGGATGGTATAGGAAAGCCCTACCCCTAGCTAGTCCTTGGCATCGAGCTGTTCTCAACGTTAATTCTCATTTTGCTCTATCTCCTTCTCCCCCCAGATCCTAATGCCAGCTGAGAGGGAGAGGGGGGGACAGAACAGAAACAGGGGGTGGGGAGGGGGTGGTCCCCGGGTCAGGGCTGCCATGTTGCACATCTGTGAGGGCACCATTCCTGTTGTAACCCATGAGAATGGTGCCCCCTGGAGGTGTGCAGGGCAGCACTTACATTTCTACTCATGGTGGAGTTGGCTCTTGTTCAAAGAGAAATGGCTGCCATTGTTATTAGATGGGTTGGAGGCAGGTCCGTGTGTGATGGGCGTGTGTTTTATGTGCAGTGTTCTGTAGGTCCATGTGTACACAAGTCCAGGCATGTGTCCACAGTACAGACAGAAAGGTGAGATTTCTGGTCTAGGGGATAAGGGAAAAGATACGGTTCTTTGCTTTCTCTGTCTCCCAGGGTTATCTTCATGCCTTCATGTGCTCACAGGTGTGTGTGTGTGTTTGTGTGTGTGTGTGTGTGTGTGTGTGTGTGCACGTGCGCTCATGAGCGTGCGTTTGAGACCACAGGTCTGGGTGCACATTGTGCGTCCGGGGACCAGGGCTCCCTGTCCCCTTCTCCACCTGCTCTGCTGTCAGCCAGGGAGGCTGGGCTTTGGCCCACCCCACATTCTCCCTGTGCAAGGGAGGCCTGGGAGTGATCCTTCCAGGGCCTGGGTCTCTGGACCTCGGGTGTCTCCACTATATTCGCTCAGCACAAGTGATTTCTGTACCTTTATTGAGGGCCCCAGGGCCCCAAGTGGGATGGGTGGGAAGAAGAGGAAGCATTTTGAAGGGATCTGAGGGCCTGCAGTTGCTCCGTGGGTTATATACGCATATATATATATATATATATATATATATATATATATATATAAAATCGTTGTTTTTTTTACAGGGAGGAAGGGAGAGGGATAGAGAATTAGAAACATAGTGTGCCTCCTGCACACTAGGTATGTGCCTGCAACCAAGGTACGTGCCCTTGACCGGAATCGAACTGGGACCCTTGAGTCCGCAGGCTGGCGCTCTATCCACTCAGTCAAACCGGTTAGGGCTATACGCATTTTTTTTTTGAAACTGGCTTATTTTACTCAGCATAGTTATTTTGAAATTCATCCCTGTTGCTGTCCATAGTTCATTCCATTTTTACTGCTGAGTAGCATTCCATTGTATAGATGTACCACAATTTGCTATCCATTCACTCAGCAGGTTTTCCCCCTTTATGCTTCATTTCTGTATATGTGTATATCCCTAAACATTGCATAATGTTACCTTTTACCAGAGGTATTTTTTTTAAATCAAGAGTCCAGCTCACCCAGCTGGGATGGCTCAGTGGTTGAGTGTTGACCTGTGCTCTAGGAGGTTGCCAGTTCGATTCCCAGTCAGGGCACATGCCTAGGTTGTGGGCTCAGTTCCAAGCGGAGGTTGTGCAGGAAGCAGCTGGTTGATGTTGATGTTTCTCTGTCATTGATGTTTCTATCTTCTCTTTCCCTCTACTTTCCTCTCTCTCTAAAGGTCAATAGAAACATTTTTAAAAAGAGTCAAGTTGTGCCTGAGGCTGGTATATGCCCAGTGAGTACCACTGCCAGGCAGAGCGCCTGTAGCCAGTGCCACCCTCCGTTTGCCCTTCCCCACACTGCCCCTTTCCCTGGAATGATCTCCCCTGCTCTGTACTGTCCAGGGGCCACCTAGCCTCTTCCAGGTAGCCTTCCCAGACGGCCTGTGTCTCCTCCGAGCAATTCCAGCCCTCACCACCTGATGGCTTTCAAAGTCCTGAGCACTGGTTGACAGTCCAGTCTTGTCTCCTTGGTAAAAGCAAGGCAGCCCCTTGTGCCACCCTTACCCCATGGGCCTGGCCTTCAGGACGCTGCTGCCAGGGAGGCCTGGACGCGGACTCATAGGGTGTCCAGTTGGCCCAGGACAGTGGGCACTGGTGTCTGGGCCCTCTGGGAAGGAGGAAGCAAAAATGCAAAGGGATGCAAACACGGCCTGGAGTGCAGTCTGGGAGCCCTCCCTCCTGATCTCTTCCCTCCCTGTCTTCCTCTCCTTCCTGGTAACCCCTCTCTCTTCCCCTTTTAGGGGGCGGCAGGCTTTCTGGGCAGGCCTGATGCTGACCCAGCTTTCTGCATTTTTAAATGCTCTCCTCGGAGGGACTAAAACACAGCCTCTGTCATATTTTGTGGCTTTCTACTTCCCTGCCCCCATCTCTCTTCCTCCATGTCTCTCCTCAGGATGATGGGTGGGAGGGGGCTGCCCTCCCTGATGGGTGGTGCACAGATCTTGGGGAAGAAACGAACACCCTTCCACCCCCAAGACTGTGCATTGATAATGTCAGTGCTGCTGACACATGTCTTAGAGCCACAGGGTAGAGGCCACGCGTTGTGCCAGAGAAAGGAAGTGACTTCCCATCGTCATGTGACCAGTAGTCACAGAACAGTCATCTGACACCTAGTCCTGTGTTCTTTCCTCTCTCTGCCTTGTCTCCTTTCATAAAGCACCTCGCATGTTTATAAAGCACCTCACACGGTGGTAAAGCACCTCTGTTGAACCAAGTCCTGTTCCATACTCCATCGCACTTTGGGCTGTGGTGGAGCTGTCTAGAAGAAAAAGCTGTATCTCCCTGGCCATCCCCTCCCTCTACCACCTACCTACCAGGGGTTCTTGAGGCAGATCTGAGTTCCTTTAGGAAGCCTGGGTGAAGGAGGAAGGCAGCCTGGGGTGGAGGGAAGTGGGCCCAGAAGAAGGAAGAGATGGGTGTGGTCCTGGGGCTGCAAAGCTTTCCCCACCCATCTTCCTGGTCTCCAATGGCAGCCCCATGGTCCCCTGTTCACTCCAGCCCAGCCTTGTAGGTCCAGCTCCATTGCCTTCTCCTCCCCTCTTCCCGTCCTCCAGGATGTCTCTCTGAGAAGTGACCTGCCTGTGTGTCCTTTTGGCACGTATCACTGCCTACCATTAGTATTGTAATTTCTGGGACGTTGGCTTTTGGAGGAGAGGATCCTTAGGTGTTTCATGCCTATGTCTCCAGTGCTTCGGACAGGGCTCAGTGTTCAGCATATATGTAGTGAATATTTGTTGGAAAAAATAAATATTGGTGATAGTGAGTGACTGTATGGTGGTGGGTATTGGTAGTAAATGCTGATTTGCTGTAAAGGTTGATGGTTGAAGACAGATGGTGGGAAATACTAGAGAGAAACAGTAGATGGTAGTTTTTCTTGGTCATAATGGTGATGATGAGAGGTGATGGGTGAAGGATGAAGATAGATGGTGGTGATGATGGGAGGTGATGGGTGAAGGATGATGGTAGGTGGTGGTGGTGGGAGGTGATAAGTGAAGGATGAGGGTAGGTGGTGGTGATGGGAGGTGATGGGTGAAGGATGAGGGTAGGTGGTCGTAGTGGGAGGTGATGGGTGAAGGATGAGGGTAGGTGGTGGTGGTGGGAGGTGATGGGTGAAGGATGAGGTTAGGTGGTGGTGGGAGGTGATGGTGAAGGATGAGGGTAGATGGTGGTGGTAGGAGGTGATGCGTTAGGGATGAGGGTAGGTGGTGGTGGGGGGTGATGGGTGAAAGATGAGGGTAGGTTGTGGTAGGAGGTGATGGGTGAAGAATGAGGGTAGATAATGGTGGGTAATAAATGGTGGTAGATGGTGAAGTGGGAAATAGCAGTAGATGGGAGCAGGAGAAGGATGGTGGCAAATGGTGGCAGAGGTGGTGGATTGCCCTGATGGTAGAAATACTGGGCAGTGGGTGACTTCCTACTCATCTGGTCTTCCCTAGGGGACCCTAGTCTAGCTCTTGGATCGACAAGTTCTCTGATACCATGGCTTTTATTTTATTTGTGCAGACTCCATCGGGGGTCCCTTCCCTGTCACCTCTCACCGATGCCACCACAAGCAGAAGCACTGCCCGCCGGTGCTGCCCGGCGGGGTGCTCCTGGCCACGCCGCTGCTCTTCCACCCGCACACCAAGGGCTCCCAGATCCTCATGGACCTCAGCCACAAGGCCGTCAAGAGGCAGGCCAGCTTCTGCAACGCCATCACCTTCAGTAACCGCCCAGTCCTCATCTACGAGCAAGTCAGGCTGAAGGTGGGGCTTCCCTCCCGGCTCTGTCACTGCTTCCCCCTGGGCCTCTGAGCGTTATCTCACCTCCCTCCCCCGCATCACTGCCTTCTGTTCTGGCCATTCCTGCACCCTGTACCTTCTCTTTCCTCTCTGCTGCCACTGTTGCTCTTCCCTGTCCCTCCTCTTTCTGTTCCCTCGTCTGTACCTCTTTCTCAGCCTTCCCCACATGGCACAGAAGGAAGGGGAGCTGGGAGTGGCCGTGGGGGCCACTAGCTCCTGGGGAGGGAAAGGAGCCCACATGGTGGGACAGCTGGGCAGGGGGGCTCTCCATTGGGGTGCTCTGCAGAGAGGGGCAGCTCCCTTCCTCACGGGCTCCTGAGGCGGGGAGAGGCTGGGCCGGGCTGCGGGCTGTCTGAGGCCACCCCCCTGCCGTCCAGATCACCAAGAAGCAGTGCTGCTGGAGCGGGGCGCTGCGCCTGGGCTTCACGAGCAAGGACCCCTCCCGCATCCACCCCGACTCGCTGCCCAAGTACGCCTGCCCCGACCTGGTCTCCCAGAGCGGCTTCTGGGCCAAGGCGCTGCCCGAGGAGTTCGCCAACGAGGGCAACATCATCGCCTTCTGGGTGGACAAGAAGGGCCGCGTGTTTTACCGCATCAACGACTCGGCGGCCATGCTCTTCCTCAACGGGGTCCGCACGGCAGACCCGCTCTGGGCGCTGGTGGACGTGTACGGCCTCACGCGGGGCGTCCAGCTGCTTGGTGAGTGCCCCCTCTCTCTGGCCCCGTAGGCGCGGGGCACCCCTTCGGGAGCTGTGATTGGAAAGGGAGCTAAGCCTCTTCTGGCTGCTCCCGGGTCCCTGGTCCAGAATCCCTCTCGCCTGGCTATGCTAGCTCACAGAGACCCCTGGTACAAATCAGCCCGCTCATCGCCTCTCCGGAAGGAGCCTGCATGAGCCTCAGCGGTCTCATCTGTAAAATGGGTTGGTGGGAAGATTGAATTCAGTTCAAGAGGCTGTGAGTCAAGTGCCCGCACAGCCCTGGGTACCAAGTCAGTGCTTAGTCAACACCTGGTCTTCCCACCTCCCATCCCTGCAGAGCAAACTGTCCTGGCGGTTGAAAATTTCCCTTCCTGACTTCAGAGCCTAGGAGCAGTAAAGCTGCTGTTTTCAAAACACCTTTATTTAAGTAGAAAAGACAGGTGGTGGGGGAGACGGTGAATGTAAAAACAGAGAAACAAGCCATCACCAGAAGCCTTTGTTTGTGGAGTTCCCCAAACGAGGAGGCGGTTTTTTTTTTTTTTTTTTTTTTTTTTTAATGAATAGTTTGGGAACTTTCTGGTTTTCAGCTCAATAAAAGTGTTTCTGCGTTCTCATGGAGGGAGGGACGGTCTCAGCCCGGCTGCCCACACTAAGGTGCCCCCCCCTTCCTTCTGTGAAATGGTGAGCCCGCCAGGCTGCTCCCTGCTGGCCACAGAGCGGCTGGAGTCAGACATGCCCGCTCGGACTCTGGCCTCACCCTGTTAGTGTAGCCAGTGCTTCGAGACCTCCGTTTTCTCATCCCCAAAGTGGGGGTAATGGTAACTGTCTCAGGGTTCCTTTGAAGGCTCGGAGAGGTGTGATGAGAAGCAGCTGACAGTGTTGTCCTCCAGTGACCGGGAGCCACCTCCACTCTTCTGGGGCAGTACTTAGTGAGCACCTGCTGTCGCGGCGCTATCCTCGGGGCCCCACGAGGCACTGGGATCCCAGAGCTTGCGTTTGCGCTCTGTCCTGGACGCTTCAGTTTGAGCCTCAGGCTCCTCCTGTGTAAAGTGGTTGGGGAGACTATGCCTTCGCCCAGGGCCTGGCCACAGGGTGGGAGACAGAAGAATGTCTCAGGTTTTGAGAAAGTCACTGTCTAGTTGGGGGGAAAGGAGGGGAAAGAAAGTGGGGACAACATTCTGGCTTTTCCCTAAGCAAAGAATGCCCTTCCTTCACTGTCCCCAAGGATCAAAATCCCATTCGGGCCTCAAGGCCCAGCTCGCAAGCCACCTCCTCCCTGAAGCCTCCCGTGTGGGATTCTCTTCTCCGTTCCTCATGTCCGCATTTCTCTAAGTGCGGAGGCATTGGCTGAGCCCGGGTCCGTCCATACATTTACTCCCAAACAAGATGGGGAGGGCTCAATGGATAGGGCTCAATGGATAGAACATCAGCCTGCAGACTAAAAGGTCCCAGGTTTGATTCTGGTCAAGGGCATGTACCTCGGTTGCAGGCACATCCCCAGTAGAGGGTGTGCAAGAGGCAGCTGATCGATGATTCTCTCTCATCAATGTTTCTAACTCTCTATCCCTCTCTCTTCCTCTCTGTAAAAAAAAAAAAAAAAAAAAAATCAATAATAATAATTAAAAAAAAAAAAGAAAGATGGGAAAGGCTATGAAGAAGGACCCCAGCTTCCTCTCCAGAGAGGAATCTTGTGTCAGTGGGTGGAGAATGCCGGGGAGTGTTTACAGGGTGGGTAGGGGAGATGGATGGATGGATGACTTGTTAGATGGAGGTAAGGGTGTGGAGCATGCTGAGGTAGACCCAGATTGCTCACAGACCCAGCGTGCTCATGGCCCCAGATGCACTGGAAATCAGGCAAGACAAAGCAAAGACTCCAGACACCATCAGGGCATAATCTAAGAGAACGCAGCACATCGTTAAATGGTGTGGTCATAGGATTCCTTCCATTTGCCAAGATGGTCCCCCTCCAGTTATCTCATTTAACCTCTTAGCAGCCGGCTCGGATGGCGTGGCTTTTATCCTCGTTTGACTGGGAGTGAATGGAGGACCAGGGAAGATGTGGTTTGCCCGTGTAGGGATGTGGCAGCGCTGGGACTTGAACTGGGGGTGTTCTGATGCCAAAAGCAGTGCCTTTCCCTTTACCCTCCAGTGGGTTTAAGCATGAAGGGAGGCAGATAGTCAGAGGAGGCTGAGGTCAGTGAGGGAGGATGGAGTCCAGGAAGGCTTACTGGAAGAGGAGGCTGAGGCTGGGCTTTCGAGTTCCAGGAAGGTGGTGGTGGGGAGCGTGAGGGGAGTGGGAACATGCCAGGTGGGATTGGGCTTCCAAACCTCAGGGGCTGAGAGAGGGGCCTGGAGAGTAATCTGAAGGGTCCCACCCTGGGGCAGAACCCAGGCGTCCGACCTGGCCCAGCCCCATTCCCCCTGTCTTTGACTATAAATGGGTTTTCAGGCAGCATTTCCAGTTTCATTTGGATTTCCCAGCAGGCTCCTCTCTGTGCACCCGATAAGGCTGAGGCCCCGCTGATTCCTGTCCCGGCTGTAAATCACCATAATCCCTGGGCATTTTCAAACACTGATTACGGCCCCTAAAGTCAATTAACGGATTAAAATATCTCTTCATTTTGTTCTTTCTAAATGGATTTTTTTTTTTTAAAAAAAAAGAGATCCACCCAGGAATTCTTTGGCGGTGGGCGCACTGCTCTATGCCCTCCTTCGGCTCCCTGCCCTCCGGGTGTGCCCGCTGCCCTAGGCAGTCCCAGGGTCAGTTTTCCTCCCTCTCCTCCCCCCTCTCCTCCCTACTTCCCCTGTCCCCCGCTCTTCTTGCTGCCACTTCCCTGCCCCTGTGTCCTCCTGGGCCTCCCTCCCTCCAGCCAGGCCCCTCCACTCCTCTGGGTTGCCCTCTCTCCTTTGAAGACTCTGCTCTCTATGGGTGGCTCTGAGGATGGGTCTGTCTTTCCTGAGTGTGACTGTCCCACAAACCAGTGTCTTATCTTTAGAGATTTCCTGCTCAGCTGGCCCCTTCCCCTCCTGCCTTTTTCCGGAATCTCTGGCAAAAACCCTTCAAACCCCACCTGGCCAGTGTCTGCTCCTCAGACTAGAGACACCCTGGGGTACCTGGCACATAGTAGGTTTGAAAGTTAAGCCATGGACAGACTGGCCGTCTCCCCTGACAGAGCGGAGGCAGGGCTGGCGCCTTCCCTGACTGACATCTCCAGGCAGGTGTCCCCTCCCCACCTCCCCGGCCCTGACTCTAACAGTGCTTCCTGGGTGCACCTGCCAGGGCCCCAGCTTTGGGCCTTCTGGGCTCCCGTTATGCAGATCGCCCTGTTCCCTCGGGGCGCCCTGGCCCGAGCCTGGCTGGTGTCTCCAAGAATAACAGCTTCCTACCTCCAGGAAGAAGGGCCTGCCAGCAACTAAATAAATACAAGTTTTATGGGGTGATTAATACTTGGAGAGATAAGCTCCTATCCCAGGTTCTCAAGCTCTCCCTGCTCCTCTCAGAAATGTTGGCTTGGGAAGCGCAGCCATATTTCTTGGCAGAAAGCTGGCGAGCCAAGGTCCGATTATGGGTCCTCCCGAGCTCCCCTCTGTGACCGCTGCAGCCGGGGCGCAGTGCAGGAGTGGGGGAGACACAAGTGGGAAATCCCTCTCCTTGAAGAGTGTTTACATTGAGGGGGGCACACCATATAACTGCTCTGAGGTGTCCTAAACCCAACCCTGCAATTAAGTGTGTGGCTGAAGAGTAAAACTGGGGTGGGGGTGGGGGTGGAGGGGTGTGACTGGGGAGCAATCCAGAAGGACTTCCTGTAGGAGGTGATTTTCAAGTCAGGAACCTAAAGAGGTGAAAAGACTGGACTGGTCGAGAAGGAACAATTTAGGCCAGATAGGAGCGGTGTGCATAGGCACAGAGGTGGGGAATTAGCAGTCTTTCGGGGAGCAGATCCTTCAGGGGAGGGGGCGAAGCGAAAAGGAAGTGGGTGACTAAGGAGAAGGGGTGTGCACAGGTGGCGGGGGGGGGGGGGGGGGAGTAGTGGTGGTGGTGGGGCGCTGGGCTGTGTCCATGAAAGTAGAAAGTTTTCAGCAGCTTCTGTGCTATCAAGTTTTTCAGTGAGAGGAAATATAGCCCAGAGATGGGAAGGGGCCGGCCCAAATTCTCCCAGCCAGTCAGAAGCCAGCCCGGGCCTGGAATTCAGATCTCCCAGGCTGATCTGGGCACAAGGTCAATGGGAGATTTATGGCCCCATCAAAATGGCAGCGGCCGAGCCCAGGAGGGCACTGGGTGGGGGCTCCCAAGGCTGCATGGCGATCTGCTTCTTTCCAGCGTCTGCCCAGGTTCCCCCCACCTGCCTACTGAGGAGAGAGTTGTATGGAGACTCTCAGGATAAGCTTTCTGAGGGCCGGTCCCTGGGTCAGGTCCCCCCATCCCTCCCAGGCTGTGCCTAAAGTTCGTGGCTCTAAGTGTGTGAGCTGTCCCCCGTTGGCTGAGGACCACACTGCCATCTGGGGCTTCTGCTTCCCAGGCTAAACCAATATTTACCTTCAGCCGTGGGTACCAGGGGCTGAGAGGCAAATATTAGCTTAAGGAGCCCGAGCCAAGCTCTTGGGATGGGGAGAAAGGCTGAGGACGCTGAGCGTGGTTTCTTCCTCTTGGACAGCTTCCGGCCCTTCCTGATTCAGAAACGAACGTGCCGTTCCTTCTGCTTCACAGACTCTTCCAGGCGCTTTCTTTCTGCTCACCCCAAATTCTGCCAGTTATTTCAGAGCCCAACCCCAAACCCTCCCCTCCACCAGGGAGACTTCCCTCACCCCCTCCCTTTTCCTGACTGTTGGAAGCGCGTGTGATGGAAGTGGTATCAGCAGTTCTGCATCAGGCAGTGTGCTCTTTAAGAAGACAGCATGAATCCTCCCTGTATGTTTTATAAAGAAAGTGATTACTGTGTCCATTTGGCAAATAGGGAAGAAGGGCACCTCTTCAGACTTCAGCCAGAGCTTTTGGTTCTA